AAAGAAAAGTTTCCTTTTAAAAGGACCTTTCAAGAGTTGTACGAAGTCTCTCAACAAGCCAAGGAAAATAGAAGGAAACTCATAAGGTTCATACTTGAACAGAGATACCCCCAAGGGAAGAGTTTGAGACAAGACAAAGAAACACAATGTGAGCAAGCTAGCTCCCATTCTCGAATACGAAGAATCCAGGGAATGCTACAAGCCATTCACGGATGAGGACACTTGCGTAAGGGGGTCTAGTTTCTTTGATCATGAGCGTTGTTCTTTGGATATGGCTTTTGAATCTCAAGCACCGGATGAGACTCCTTGGTCTTCATTTGGAACTTCACCACAAGTATGATTTCTATGAAGAATAATCAATGGAGGATGGAGCTCTTACATCTTGATCCGAAGGAGTCAAGCCCGTTGAAAAGACTTTAAAAGACACAATAGTTGGGAGGCAACCCAACGATTCGTTTTGCGTATCTTTTCCTTTTTCTTTTTGAATAATTGATTAAGTAGTAGATTAGAATTGCGTAGACAATGATTGATAGGATTTAGTCCTTGCCTTGCCTCGTTCTCTAGATGTTTGATTGATTTAGATGAATGATTAAGCTCAAGGTTTGGTGAAATCATTGTCTTTGTGTTCAGGGAAAAGTTCGCGGTTAGCACGTCAGAGATCACAGTTAGCACGATCTTTTGACTACTGCCCGCGAACTTGTTCATGCGTATTTAAGGGAGACCTGCACATTGAAACCATGTGTAGTCTCTCCGTCACATCTTTTAGATCTCAATGCCCTGTTTCCCAACCCTTTCTTATGCCATGTTCACTTCCCATTTCGTTTCCTGTTTAAAAAACGAAAATCAGGAAAGAACACTCGGTATAGGATCAAGTCAAACAGTTATATGTACACAACCGAGAAAGATTGCAGCCATCTCAATTGCTGACAGGGTGAAAGGTGAATATCATGGCATCTATAAAGACAATAATAACACTGTTATTGCTTATCCAACCTTTTCCTCCAACCAACAGTTTGGTTAAAAAATTATTAATGAAACAGACCATTGCTTGCTGCAGCACTTTATGAATGACAAGATTTGCCTTGGATTTCTTGGATTGTCATTGATGAGGCTCATGAAAGAAGTTTGAGCACTGATTTACTCTTGGCTTTAATCAAAAGCTTATTGCTTGATCAGACAAGAGCTTGAGGCTTGGCAAGAAAAAATCTGTTGAAGTGAATGAATGTGTTTGATGGTGAATAAGTTTTTGAATTAAAAATTATAATCATGGTTTGGGTTTAATCGTGGTTAGGATTGTATGATACTCAATGACAAAATTTTGATAGTTAAGTATCTGAAAACAGTATGAAGTAATTAAACAGGTTTTCATTTTCATAAATCAGTTTCAGAACTTACTAAAATTCACAGCTTAACACGTTTTCTTCAGGTTTTGTTTATCAGGAAATGAGACTTCATTTTCATTTTATTTTGATTTCTGTTGCGGCAGCTATAAGAAACAGAATGGCAAGTAAACGACCCATTAGCTTGTTGAGCATACTTTCTCTACTTCTTTTTCCAACATCTTTTGATAAGTATTATCAATCATTTTTGGATTTCCAATATGTCCTCTAGCAAGATAAGGTATACTTTTACAGCTGGTGTGAACTTTGACATGACTTTACGATGCCATAGGATTGTTATCTTTGCTTTAATGGTATTGCTATCCATTTTGGGAGACCTAGATTGGTGGGATATTTTCATGCATGTTTTAAGCTTTCATAGACCGCCTACCAAGTGTTCGAAGAAATTCCCCAACCACATGGTTTTCATTTTCTTCAATCCTATTCATTGAGCATCACTTGATCGCACTTGTTGACCCTTGTTTACTTGATTTGAGTTGGTTAAGGAGACTCTAGGATTGTTCCTTTTTGTTGAACTATATCTCCCTCTAGGTCCTCCCTTTTCCCAAGATTTATAATTTCACTCAAGTTTGGGGGAACTTAGAGAATTTATAAGAGTTCTTTGGAAGTTCTTTTTATGGTATGTGATGTTCGATTGCTGGTTTGTGCATTTTGTACTACTTGTTTTGAAGGATAACTTACAAGAGCAAGGGAATGGCGCGTGGAGAGAATTCTTCCAACATGGAAACTTCTTGAACTTCTTATTGTCGCCACGACCATCGGAAGAATAAAAGCAAATCCGGATCAAAGAAAGTATTTGTTGAAGAGCTGAATCCACCATCACTCTCTCCCCATCTACCAAGGGAAATTTATCAAGAAAGTCAAGTCAATGTTAGAAGTGGCATGAAGTATCTTACTCATTTTTATGTGGACAATGCCCCGAGCAATTTAAGACCTAACTTCTTTGGATTTATGTTAGAAGTGGCATGTCTCAACTAGATACTCTTTGCACAGCTTGGGATCGAAGACACAATTCATTCCAAGATTCAGAAGTTGGAGTGGCTTAAATTGTTATCCATTCAAGAGAACATCTACAGGGTACTTGTTCTGGAATTCATTATCACTCTTACCATTCAAGATACGTGAGGTGCCACCAACCTTCAAGACAACATCTAATTCAAACTAGGAGGAGAACATCGCAAAATATCGATCCGAGAATATACAAGAGCCATGGATATTTACCTGGTGGATTTTGTTGACTCACCGGAAGCTTATGCTACCTTGACAAGGGAATCAGACTTCCCATATTTCAAGCCTTTATAAGAATCCGAAGTCAAGAAGTCAAACAATCGACCGTGGAATGTCAATCTATCGAAGGCTAGTTAGGTGAAACTAGAGTGGCAGTTATCCACCATGTCATTCCTAGGTCTGTGGGTGGAAAGAATCGAATCAAGGGCAATTTGACTACCCAATACGTCATTTTTTTTCCAACGCATGCATCATCCGCAATCGCTTCACCTTGGTTTGGAAATTATATCCATCTTCAAGCTCTATGAAACGGACCATCGACTCACTGCCCTTCATGGAGGAGCTTCTGTCACTCGACTTGCAAAGTATTTCGGAGTCGACTTCTTGGTCGTGCAATTTCGCTTGGATAGCAGGACCCCTCCTACATCCTTTGAAATCTTGAAATATAGAATTATAGTCTTAAATTTGAGTGACTATGGCGTTTGGGAGTACGTGGACTTTCATTTCCAACCACTAACACGCTGGATATGGAGGGTACCATGTTCCGTCTTCTGGAAGCCACGACGGTGAGAGAACGAAGAGGGCTAGTCAACGAGGAAGATCAAGATGAAAGAATGAATGAGGGAGGAGAGGCGCATCTACCAACTTCTCATCCAGTTCCCCCACCATTAATCCATGTAAGGGATCTCTGATTTGAAGCGATGAACAATATTTCACAATCAAAGAAGGGATAAGGAAGCACGTATCCATATCATGGTGTGCATCCATGCTATAATGAAGAAGATCAATATCCCGATTGACATTGTATCTCCCCAACTTGTTCGCTCACCTCCCCCTTTGCCATTCCAAGAAGAAGAAGGACCCTCCGAGGAGCAATGCAGTCAAAATCGTGACTTTAAGTAGAATCGAAAACTGGGGTAAAATCGGAATCGTAGATCAAAATCGTAAAATCGTAAGATTTTAAGGTTCATATTAAAATTAACGGTTAAAACGCCAGATTGTAACAACAATACATATCGTGAACAATAATACACTACATATCACTACTTAGTTACTTCTCACCATAGGCTTGTATGATAAATAAACACAAATAAATCCATAGATTTGTTCTTGTGCATTACAAAAACACACTAACAAATAACCTGAAACCTCGTAAATCACTTAGTCTAGTAAATAGTCAAGAATAGAAATCACATAAGATCATTTGGATCAATATTAACATCTAAGTCTTCAACATCATCATCACCCTCACTCTCATCTTCATAGAACCCTTGTCTATTTGCTTGTGCAATGATATTATTATTCTCAACACCACTTGAAGTACTTCCAACTTCTACTATATTTCCTTGATCTCCATCATCCGAAAAATGCTCATTGATTGGTTCACTCATTTCCTGATCGAGCACTTGATCATTCTCAATTTCATTAACTGCTCCATCTTCAGCAATCCATTCGTCATCAGAGTCGATATCTTCAAATATACGTTCTATCTTTTTACTTTGACTCCGCATAAGCTTTGAGTTATACATCACATACACAAGGTCATTCATCTTCTTTTGAAGCAAACAATTTCTCTTCTTAGTATGTATCTACAAAAATGAAGCAAATATGAGAATATGATAAAAATGATAATGAAGTAATTAAAAAAATTTAGAAACTTACCCTCTCAAATACAATCCAATTGCGTTTACATCCAGAGGCACTACAAGTCAAGCCGAGAACCCGAATAGCAAACTTTTGAAGCTCAGGAACATCATCCCCAAAATCATTCCACCAATCTGCATGATGCTTTCTATCCAATAATTGCATCGCTCCATAAGAATTGAACATTCCCCTAGCATTGCGAAAATCTGAAAGTTGTTCCATGATCTTAAGTTTCTCTTGAGGATCTCTTGCTAATCTTTCCACAGTTTCATACAACCCCACTTTCAGTTGTTTATCATTAGAGTCGAAACTGGATCCTTTCCCATGATGAACCTGAGGATTTAACCAATGAGCGGCAAAGTACAAAGGCCTACTCATTTGCTCTCCCCACCTCTTCTCAATAATTCTCAATATGGGTTTATATCTACAGACAATAAAACAAACACAGTAAATAAAACAAGAGAGTTGCAAGAAATTAAAAACGTTTGTTGAACATGAGTAAATAGCTACTAGAAATTAAGCATAGTTGCTGAAAGTGGCCAAACCGCAGCTCGAAATGACAAAACAGTTGCTAGAAAGACAAAAACATATGCTGGAAGTTATAAACAGCGGTTGGAAATGACAAAAGGCTGCTGGAAATTAGAAATAGCTTGCTGAAAGTGATCAAAAAGCTGCTGGGAATTATCAAAAAGCTGCTGGGAATTGAAGGTAGCAATAAGAAAAGTGCTCTTACTTTCTCTCCATAGCACCAAAGTTACTTTTAATCTTCTCCTTTGCTTCATTCAGTTCTTTGACCACAAATGGCATTGTTGGCTTCTCCTCCGAGTCGACTAAACGTAGAACTTTCACCAAAGGCATAGCAGCTCGAAGACAATTTACAACATTTGTCCAAAATCTACCATCTAAAACAATCATTTGAATCCTTTTCCCCTCTGAAATGCTTGCAAAGTTACTTTTCCTCCATTTATCAGAAGAAAACATAGTCATCAAGTTTCCTTTTTGTTCACTAAGGCAACCTAGAGTCAAATAAGAAGTAGCAAACCTTGTTTGAGCAGGTCTAACCAAATCCCTGCCCTCTGTGAACTCTTTCATCATAGCAATCAGATTTGTCCTGGTGTAGATGAAATTAGTGACCTTTCTTCCTTTTGAAATTGTAGACTTATGAACTGGCATATGTTTCTCAAAATCCTCCAACATCAAGTCAATACAATGAGCGGCACAAGGAGTCCAGAACAAATGCTTCCACTTCTTCATCAATTTCTCTCCTGCAGCTTTATAAGCAGATGCGTTATTAGTGACGACTTGAACAACATTTTCCTCTCCAACCTTGTTTACAATATTATCTAGCATCTCAAAGACTTTCTCTGTGTTCTTGCTGATGCCAGATGTATCTATAGATTCAACAAAGACAGTTCCTCTTGGGCTGTTGACTAAGAAGTTGCAAATTGATCTTTTCTTCTTGTCGGTCCAGCCATCCGACATTATACTGCATCCCACAGATTTCCATTCTTCTTTAAACACATTAAGTTTCTCTTCTACTTCCTTCATCTCTTCTTTCAAGAAGGTTTCTCTTAACTCATGGTATGATGGTGGTTTGAAACCTGGACAATGTCTAGCAACAAGCTCAAACATATCAGCAAACAAAGGATCTCTTGCAGCATTGAAAGAAAGGGCATTGTTGTAGTACCATTTTGCTATACCACGACATGCTTCCTTTCTAAGATCCTTTTTTATCAGTTGGCTCACAGTTGTTTGAGTACTGGCTGGTGGAATGCTAATAGAAGCAGAATTTCCTTTATGAGATAGCATAGTGGAATGAACTGACTCATGAGATTGAGCAACAGAACCTACAACACTGTTGACCCCACGATGCAACAAATTTTTTCGTACCTCCTTTGCTTCTAAGTTGAGGTCGAGGAGCTCCAACATTTTGTGTCTCACATCATCAGGTACACTCACACATGCCTCTGCATTTTCTCTTGTTCCGGCAAGATGATGTTTGAGACGAAATGCACCGCCAGAGAACATCTTCGAGCAGAACTTGCATTTAGACCTCTTTGCATCGCCGTTTACATCGATTGCATACTCCCAAGCTGGATCTTTTCTACTTCCAACAACATTTCTTTTCCTTTTTGATTCTTTTCCTTTAGAAGTACTGGCAACACCTGTTGTAGACATTGCATCACCTATTGTATGAAATAAAATTAGGATTCACGCTTCATAATCCATATTCATTGTATATTTGCATAACATGATGAGATTTGTAAAATAAGAGTTGAAAATTGGATGTCATTGGAAATAGCAAGAGTGGTGTTAACACGAATTGAAAAACAAAATAAATATACAATCTGATCCAAACTGTGACCAGACCAGGAAATTAAATCATACCACCGGAATAAGTCAAACCATGTTGCTCAACCATCTATGGTTCCGATCTAAACTTTGCAAGTATTGTTTGATCCATAATTTCTTCCCACCCCCTAATCTTTAAACCCATATATTTTGCTTGAGATTTGCAGACGTACACTTTTGGCTTCTGAGAGAACTCCACTTTCAATACAAACCGGCACCGCAGAAGAAGAATACACAAAAATGTAAAAGCAACTCCCAACCAGGGAAAAGCCTCTGAACCAAACGTGTGAAGGGTCACCAGAAGCAAACACTACTGGTTATCCCCAATCAGAGTGTAGATTTGTAAAATATGCAACATATTTTCAACGAAGAAGGCTGTAGGCAGCAGCAATAAACCCAATACTCAATATATTTTCAACGAAGAAGGCTGTAGGCAGCAGCAAACCTCAAGTCCTCGACAACTAAACTAAGCAATCTGGTGGAACTTACCGTTGCAGCAGGCCGCAGAAATCACAGACGCGGCCGAAATGCGGTGGAGCAGAAGGGAGGCGGCGAATCAAAAGGGAGCGTCGGCGGTCTTTCGGCTCGCATCAGAGGGCCAAGGTTGTCTGCAGAGTGGAAGAGAGGATGACCAAAACAAAAAGAAATTAGGGCTGCGGGTTAGGAATTAGAGATCCTTGCTTATTGATTAGTGTTGGGTATATGTCAAAAAAAAAAAAGATTAGTGTTGGGTCGGCTCTAGGAATGTACCTGACCCGGTTCGTGGTCAAAACCCGACCCTATTTGGCTTAATTTTGACTCAATTGTCATGAACCTTAAAATCGTACAAAATCGTATTAATCGTAGATTTTAAAGATTTTATAGTTTTTAATCGGGATTTTATGGGATTTTAAGGTTCAAAGATTTTACCTTAAAATCAGGATCGAAACCCATAGGTAAAATCGTAAAACCGTAAGATTTTAAGATTAAAATCGGGATTTTGACTACATTGCCGAGGAGGATTAAGTACTAGGCATTCACGGCTTACGTTCCATCTTTTCTTTTTCTTTGCTCTTATTTTCTTTTTCTTTAAACAATGTTTAATTATTTCTTTCTTTTTGTTTTAATTTTTGTACTTTCAAAATTCTCGTAGTAGTAGTTACCTTAACTATATTATCTACTTATCGTACCTATGTCTTGTAATCGTCTTCCTCTCTTTCTTATGTGCTTTATCGCTGTGAAAACCACCAGGACGACAAAGACCTACACTTATGTACCTTCACGAACCCACAACCCAACCTATGGTAACCTTCGTGATCTTCTCTTTTGAATCTCCCACATTGAGGACAATGTGTCGCTCAAATGGGGGGATACTTGTGAATGCTTTAATGATTATCTTAATTGAGTGAGCCATGATCACTAGGATCCTCCCTGGATTATGAATGCAAGACGCTCATGATTGCTTATGGGAGTGTGCGTATTGTGGTGTTGAATGGCCTATTGATTGTGTTTAGTACCTAGAATGCAATACCCAAAAAATTTCAAATTTGAGGGTTCCAAACATTTTTCTTGCAACTTCCAACTCAGTATGCTTTGAATTTACAGATGATTGATGTGTTGTGGTCAGTAGGGAGTATTTTCATGAGTAGAGTACTTGTGTATGAGAGATTTTACTATCTTCTTCCGCTTTGGTGAGTCGATGATGTTTGCTATTTTAGGAAGAACATGTGTGCGGGACTCTCCAACATTTTTGAACTCGAAACTTTTACAAATATGTTCTCAATTTTGAAAAGATCTTTTGAAAAAGAGGTTCTCACAGGAGAGGCAACTGAGCATAGTGTTTGAGTTAACCCACCAAAGGGGTTTTCTCTTGGCTTGTAGTGGCATTCGATGATGTGTTTTGGGATCGGATAGCTTTATTGCGTCCCGACCATCTTTCACTACTTACCATCCCCCAAACACTTCTCCTCCTCACGGAATCTAAAGTACCTTTTAGCCATTCAAGAGACCTCAGCTCTCGTTTGTACCCAACATGTATGACCATTCAATGTGGAGTGCAGGGTGGGAAGTGGTGCTCGGGCTAAGACGAATCTATCCATCAAATTTCCCACATGTGACCTTGATAGGGAATGCAATGTTCCATCTACTCTTGGTTATGAGGGAGAAATGCTTTCTTGCAAAGAGTTTACGAAGGTTTAGTGCAATGTGTGTCAACGTTGAAAAAGGAGACTAATAAAAGATAACTCCTAAATTGAAAGAAACAATAAAGATCAGCCTCAAGAGTTCTTGTGCTTAATTTTTGTTGAGAAGCCCCCCCCAATGCACACTTTGAATGTTCATCCAGAGGTAGTAGGTATGGTCATCAACAAGGGGTTTGTGCTTGCACAGTAAGATAATAGTAACGTTTACTCGTCTCCGTTTACTAACCCGAATGCAATGAAGAACTAGAGTGCGCCCCCCGTTGATTTTTCTATCAAGTTACATTGGTTTGAGTAGGTTTGCTTGGGGATAAGCAAACGCCTAAGTGTGGGGGAGTTTGATAACACCTAAATTGGTACAATTTACCCTTCATATTTAGGTTTGTCGTGCATAATAAGAAAAATATCATTGATTTCATCGCTATTTTGTTCCTATTTGATTATGTCAAGATTTATGGTGCTTCAAAACGATATATGTGAATTAGGTACGGAAAAGGGCACAAGTGTAGCAAAATGGAAAAAAGTTGAACATCACAGCCTAGACGTAGAAGATCTCGTCCATCAGACCACGAAGCAGGAGAGAAGATCGCGGCCTGAGGACCATAGTTCGCGGCCGCGAAAATGAAGCCCTTGGACATGAACTTCGTGAGGAAGCCACCCAAGAGAAGACATAGACTCTTGATGGTCGGATCACGGTCACTGTCTTCCCTGATCGCAAGGAAGTTAGCGGCCACGAATCATGAATCGCGACCGTGATTCATCCTGCGAACTACCAGAAGACGAAAACCAAAACGGCGACCCCTGAAGATCGCGGGCCGAAGTGGAAGATCCCGACTGCGATCTCCCCCTGCTCGGTCGTGAACTTTTCCGTCCCCTAGAAGTCTATAAAGAAGAACTCTTCCCCCATTTTAACGGAGCTGATTTTGAGATAGAAATTTATGGTTTAGAGAGAGAGAGAAGATGAAGGAAGGAGAAGAGGAGAATAAAGAGGAGAAGAAACTAGAGGAGAGGAGCCATCTTCTTCAACATCAAGTCTTCCCCAAATTCTTCTATGTATCTTCTTCCCTCTTTTATGGTGTAGTCTTTTAAGGTACTAGGGGTTCTAAACCCCAAACACTATTTTTAGAGATATTATGTAATGAATGAATATGTTAGGGTTTTGAATGAATGTGTTTGTCTAGTTGATTTAATGCTTCTCTAGCTTTAATTATTCTTGGGTAAGTCGCCCTAATCTTCTCTACTAGTCTACTTGAGCTTCTACGTTGGGTATGGAGTTTTAGGGTTATACAGGTATGCGTCATCTGACAGATTAGGGTTAGATGAATGAATATGGTCTTGTAGTGGACGAGGCGACTGAACCCCTGCCACAAGGACGTCTTCCTAGATGGAACCCGGGATGAAACCTAGATATGGAAGGTGGGTAGTACTCATTGAGAGGAGATAAGTTCTTAAAGATTTAGATTCGTGAGCCAATATCGAGGTGACAATGGGGTAGGTAGGGCGTACTCAGAGGCGTGTGGATAATCACGAAGGCCCACGTAAAAGAGCCCACTCACCACATTCACTTTACCCAACTTGTTTAGACATTTTCATGATAGACCTAGGCTAGGGTGAGGGTTAGTAACCCAAACTATCTGCTTTTATCCTTGTTTATTCTCTCTACTAGTGATTTCACTTGAATCCTCCGACACAACCCCTTAAACGGATCGGCTAGATAACAACAATGTGGGAAGTAGGCTAGGGTACTTGGACCCAAGTGAATACGACATTGATTGCCAGTATATGACAATGCCATTATAGATTAAACTCTGCCTAGAATGGGGTAGTTATTGATATGTGCAAACTACTGACAATAACCTAAACATAATGAATCGATTCATTCTCCTAGTTAAAAGAAAGCCAACTCGCATAGGTAATAGGGAAATAATCCCATACTTTAAGAGTGTGGATTCTTTTATTAGCTAATCATATAACTTTGGAAGCACGTATTAGCAAGATAGTAACTCATACACTTCATGTGTCATTTAAAGCTCGTGTAAAGACAAGAATTATTCAAGTGTGAAATGTAGAAGTAGTATGAACTAACTAAATTTAAAACTTTGAAAACTTTGAAAGTTCCAAGTTATACGAATTGATAAAGGCCGACCGATAAGTTGGCACCAGTAAAATGGCATTATATTTGATCCAACTTAGTAATAAAATTTTAAATTAACACTGCTCTAATCCAATTGAAATCTCAAAATTTCAAAACTCATACCAACAATTTCAAAATTTAGCACAACTTGACATTAAGAGCTCGATTGGAAAGATGTTATGCAGGATTTTTAAATTTTTTTGCATGAAATTTGCTAATATTCATCAATCCATCCAAGCATACATTCAATTAAGATCATCATAAGAACCATGCAATCACATTTCTAAGCAAACCGACTATCATAATTCATTCATAAACATTAATTGCACCTAGCATATGCCAAAAATTAGCTAGAGAAGACTTCACATTTCTCAAGCAATTTTAAACTTTAAATCCTCAATCGAAGTCCTACGTTCATGATTCAAGCTCCTAAATTTGTCTAAAGATCATGGGTACTTACTTGTATGGGTGGAAGTTTGGTTTGCGGGTTGCGGGTAACCCGCAAACCGCACAATTTGTGGATAGTGGTTGGGTGTGGGTAGCAAAATATTGATTTTTGTGGTTAGTGGTTAACCACTACCCATAACGGTTTACCCACAAAATCCACATTAACCACATTAGTTATATTAGTTTGTGAAAATTGGAAGACTAAGAATTAAGGTAGCTACTAAAATCAAATACATACTTATTCTATAAAACAAAACCAGGTCCATACAAACTCGTGTCCATTTCTCCATGAACTCACGAACAACACAACATGCAACTAGCTACCAACAATACAAGACTATAATCGAGAGTGGAGAATAATCAATTGATTAAAAGCAGGTGCCTCCACTTATGGAGCCACTATTATGTTTTGTTATTGTTGCATCATAGGAGTCGTGACATGCAACGATGTTTGTCTGGTAACAGGTCACTCCGCCTCTCCGCTATCTTCAAATCTCTTTCCAAATCAATCTCTTCTGAATTTACACTAACTAACCTCTTGTGTTCGAGATTTATAATTTATTTAACACTTTATTAACTTTCTTTTATGTATGTTTTTGTTTTTTGTGAAGAAACACTACTTCACTATTTAATTACCATATTATTTTATTTAATGATAAAATTTTTGTGGGTATCCACAACCAACCCGCACCAAGCCACAGCGGATAGTGGTTAACCACTACCCACCGCGGGGCGGGTTGTGGGTAGCATAATTCCAATTTTATCATTATAGTATGTGTAAATTTGTCACAAAAACTTGATTATACTCGTCTCAAAGGTCCATATTTTTGTTACAGTTCTGTATTTTTTCTGAACTAAACAACACATACAATATAATATCAATGTTTGAATCAATACTACTTGAGTTCCGATTTCAGAACTAATATCTTTCTATAAAATATAAATAACTTAAGATAAAATATAAATATAGAAGCATCATCACCAAACATATTGCTAGAGTTCAATAAAAAATATAACAATGAATAAAATGTAACCTAATTGGTTATAATGCTCTTTCTTCATTCAAATGACCAAATTTCAAATTTCAATGATAACATTTTGAATATATAAACATGAACTGATATAAATGCATGCATTGATACAATAGTTGCGTATGTTAAATCGTTGTATTGTTATGAATCACTATGATATAAATGCATGCATTGATACAATAGATGCATTTTGAAATTACATTGTTTGGTTGTTGAGATTATAATTTATGAATTGATTGTTATAAAGTTACTTTATAAGGAAATGTCATATTTGTCCTCCACTTTTAATATAAAACAAAAAGAACTATGGACATAATTGGAAAAAGTAGATGTGCTCAATTATTAATCCAACAAGGGTTAATACCTTAGTTTGGCCCGAACTATACACATACTTTCTACTTTGGCCCGAATTATTGAATATTGCTACTATGGCCTGAACTTTGTAGCAAACTTCCTCATATGGCCTGGAGGCGCGTTTGACCGTCAAAACAGACGGTCAACCAAGTTGACCGTTAGTCAATATACACATCAGCTGCCACGTATACATTAAAAATTATATTTTTGTTTACAAAAAATAAAAAATAAATTAATAACTCTAAAATAAAAAAGGAACGGAAAATAAAATAAAAATAAATAAAATAAAAAAAACCCATCCCTATCTTCCCCATCGATTCGTATCGGGAATTACCTCCCCCTTTCAGACCCATCGTCTACCCCCAACTCCCTTCCCCGACGAATTCTGGGCGATTCTCGAAGATTCTCCGGCAAATGCAGCGGCGGCCGGTCGGTGAAAGACGCCGCCGTCGCTGATTCGCCGGACTCCTTCCCCGACTCCTCCTTCTCCCTTCCCCTTCGATTCGCCCCGACTCCTCCTTCTCCCTTCCCCTTCGATTCACCTTTTTTTCTTCTAACCCAGAACCCTAACCCAGACCCTCTTCTTCTTCGATTCGCCCCGACTCCTCCTTCTCCCTTCCCCTTCGATTCACCTTTTTTTCTTCTAACCCAGAACCCTAACCCAGACCCTCTTCTTCTTCGATTCGCCCCGACTCCTCCTTCTCCCTTCCCCTTCGATTCACCTTTTTTTCTTCTAACCCAGAACCCTAACCCAGACCCTCTTCTTCTTCTCGTTGTCGAGGCGCAGCACTCCAGAAGGAGAAAAGTCCTTCCCCACCTATCTCTCTCTTCTCCAAAACAGCCCCTTTCCCAAAAGTCGCTTTCCAGAATAGCCCCTTTCCCACCCATCGATCTTTTCTCCAAAGAAGATTAAAGCGAAGCTGTCGACAGAATCGGGACCACAGTGGGAAAGCAAATTTCTGGACCACTAGGTAAGCAATCAATCTCTCTCTTCATAAACAATAGAATCCAAGAATCTGGATTTGGCCATATGTGGAATACTGTGTAGTGGAGATTAAACAATAGTTGTTGATTTGTCTTTGTCTTTATTTTTTGAATTGTGTACATGCAGGATGGACGACGTGATTACGCTTATTTTGGTTCATGGAGGTGCTATGGACATGTCTGGTGTGGTTCCGCAGTATGTTGGTGGTGTGGAAGACGTCATCGACATTCATCGTGATGTCGTGTCTTACTTTGAGATTACGAAGACCCTTATTGAAGATTTGTCCTATCTATCGGTTGAAAGGGTTTGGTACTTGACCCCGGGGGAAGACATGGCTACTGGATTGCACGAAGTTCACTCTGATGTGGAAGTCATGACCTTACTTACAGATGCCGAGAAAGGAGATTTGAGGGTCTACTTCGAGGCAACTAAAGACATTGGTGAGTTTGGCTATATGGGTGACAACTATGGTCATGGTTGGAAGGTGTATGCGAGTTGGTGGCGCAAAAACGAATGCTTTATGGTGAAAGGAGTTGGTGAAGCTCATAGCTGCCCCCGGTCTCTTCGGATCCGTGCAGCTGGTTACAAGTGGATGGCCAAAGAATATCTGGAAACATTTAGGGTCAATCAAGCGTGGGATGTTGGGCTAATAGCAAACGAGGTGAAGCGCAAGTTCAACCTGATTGTATCAACTTCTACTTGCTACCGAGCCAGGTTGGAAGCTCGTCGGCTGCTGTATGGGTCTCTTGAAGAAGACTTTCACCAAATTAGGGACTACATAGGCCATCTTATAAAAGTGGACCCTCAAGGCAAATTCCTTCTGGAAGTGGATATTGAGCCTGGTGAAGACAAGGTCTTTTTCAAAAGACTCTACGTTGGCTTTTCGAGTTTGTGTAAAGGGTTCATAGCGGGATGTCGACCTTTCTTTTGCCTCGACGGCTGTTTCCTAAAAGGAGAGGTGCAAGGCATGCTACTGTCGGCTGTTGGGAAGGACGGGAACAACCACATGTTCCCAATCGCTTGGGCGGTTGTGGAATCAGAAAACAAAAGTTCGTGGATATGGTTTGTAAGCGCATTGCAAGAGCAGCTTGGGACACTCGATGGAAAGGGCTTCACAATTGTGTCAGACCAACAGAAGGTATTTTACTTTTGCTGGTGAAAAGGGTTGATTTTACATTTTTTATTTCTACCAAGTTGTAACTTTTAGATATGTTCCACTTTAAATGCAGGGGCTGGTGGAGGCGCTCCAAACATGCTTGCCAATGGCAGAGCACAGGAAATGTGCTCGCCATATTCACTCCCATTTCCGAGAGAAGCATAAGACAGCATTAGCAACTGACCTCTACTGGGAAGCTGTATATTCGTTGAATGAGCCTGATTGGAGGTCTGCGGTGCTACGAATGCGTGAGCTAGGAGGTTCTGAATATAGAGATTTCATGAATTTTGAACCAGAGCACTTCTGTCGGGTTTTTATGAAGACTTTCTCCAAAAGCGATTCAGTTGAGAGCAACATATGTGAATCCTTCAACAATTGGATATTGCGGTTCAGGTCACTGAGAGTTATTGCAATGCTGGAGGGGATTCGTGTCTCAGTTATGACTCGGCTGGTGAAAAACAAAAAGAAGATGAGTCGGTGGAAGGATAGCTTCCCTCCAGTTGTGCGAGGAAAGTTAGAGAAGGCCAAAGACGATGCCAGAATGTGCACTTCCCGTCCTTCTTCAGAAACCATGTTCGAGGTATCTCACGATGGGAAGGGATTCGTGGTGGACTTGAAGGAACATACGTGCAGCTGTGGGTGGTGGGCTCTCAATGGTATTCCATGTTGTCATGCTTATTCCGCCATCACCTACATGAGAGGTAAACCTGCTAGTTTCGTCCATAAGTTCTTCAAGATCGAATTTGTTCGGGAGGCATACAAGTTTCCGATTCCTCCATCTGAAGGGCGGCAAGCATGGCTTCCTGTGCTTGGAAACAAAGTTTATCCACCTAGGATAAGACGAATGCCTGGTCGTCCTAAGACAAAAAGGAGACGGGAGCATTGGGAGGTTAAGAGCAGACCTGGCAAAAACGGAGTCGGAGAAGTTACTACGAGAGCGAACTTAGCTGTCCACTGTGGCAAATGTGGTGGCGAAGGTCATAATGCCAGGACATGCAAGAACCCGCCACTTCCGCCGAGAACTGCAGCACCCCGCAAAAGGAAGCAACCACCACAAGTTCCAACCACACAATTACCACCCATCACACAAGTTCCAGCCAGCAAACGAGTTCCAGCCAGCACACGAGTTAATGACCAAGCTGGAAATGACACCGAGGTAACGAATTCAAAATGTCACTTTCATTGTGTTTGCAAAGTGGAAATTGACAATATTTGGTGATAACAGGCACCAAGAAGAAGGAAGAAAGGACGTTGCTCTAAGTGTGGATCCGAGCACCATAATGCAAGGACTTGTCCAATGAATTTTGGAATTCAGGTACATGTTTCTCACCTCAGTGAACAATTACACGAATTATGTTGAATGGTTGGAGAGTAATGAATTATGCTGTCAATTATGGGTGGATGGATGTGTAGGCTCCTCATGTAGGTTCCCAAAGTAGACGTGTGACTGATCGAGAAATGCAAAGGGCTATGCAAGGGATAGGAACATATATTGATGAGAATACAGGGAACATGTACGCTAGGGTATGTCCTGCTCATTCGTGGTTGACATGTTTTTAAGTTAAGTTGTTATGATTTCTGAACTAATGCAGTAATTCTTGTTTTGCAGCTTAGCGCCCGCGTTCCAGGTCCTCGTGGTGCACAACAAACTGAACCGGATCAGCCTCCTTTCAATAGCACACAGCCTCCGACGACTCAACCGGAGACACCTTAATGTGTAGTAGTTTCGTAGTGTAGTTTCGTAGTGTGTTTAGAGTGTTTCGTAGTGTGTAGAACACTTCTTTTTGGCTTGACTCCTTATGTTTCGGATCATAGTCCTGAGGTCCGAGTTGGAGTCATAGGAATTAAATTAGCTCCCCCTTTTGTACATGCTCTCGATAGCAGGAACTAATGTGACTGTAAAACATCATTTTGCAACATTCGTATTAATGTCACTATGAAGGAGCTAATGTTTTCGTTTAACATCTTTGCGGATTATGGGTACACACTTGTTCTGCACAAAGGTTTACTAACAGGAGGTTGCTTATTCTTCGACAAACACACACACAGTAAGCTTACAATCACAAACAAGAATTTGCTTGCAAATGAACCCACAATCCTCACTCACAATTGAACTAACACCATTACAATAAGGGCTATGGCTACAAAGACAGCACACACAATCATTCGACTTTGTAGTGCACATATTGCTTTTCTCATACTTTGCAATTCCATAAAACTAGCTGCACTAATCTCAGTGACCTTCTTCAAATCCTCTAGCATCGCCAATTTCTCTTGTTTCCTCCTATTTGCCTTCTCTTCTGCCTTACGAAGCCGCCCTTCAAGTGCCTCCATTTTCAATTTCAGATGCTCATTTTCCTCCATTATTCCATACTCAGATGTACCATCGACCCAACAAAAGAAACGACAATCTTCCTTTACATCTTTCCAAAACGGGCAGGAATAGAACTTCCTTCCCGGATTATCCTCTGTGCGAGAGGTGTTCACAACGCAGGGAGCATTGTGGCCTTGGCATCTTACCTTCGCTGTGTTCGACGAACCGGAAGCGGAAGAGGCAGAAGCTTGGTTGCTGACCCTACCAGCTCGCCTCGACATTGTTGCTGGAGGCCGCGATTTTAATTCTCGGCGAGGGAACTGGGTGGAAGAAAGGAGGCGAGGGAACTGGGTGGAAGAAAGGAGGCCGCGATTTTAGTTCTCGGCGGCGGGGGCTCGTCGGAGAAGGGATAGGGTTTCGGAGGAAGAAACTGGTTCGGAGAAGGGATAGGGTTTCCCGATTTTGGGTGAGAGGGGGAGAGAGAGAGGAGGGTATAAATGGTGGCTGTGGGTTTTTTTTTATTTTTTTTATTTTTTATTTTATTTTCCGTTCCTTTTTTATTTTAGAGTTATTAATTTATTTTTTATTTTTGTAAAAAAAAATATAATTTTTAATGTATACGTGGCAGCTGATGTGTATATTGACTAACGGTCAACTTGGTTGACCGTCTGTTTTGACGGTCAAACGCGCCTCCAGGCCATATGAGGAAGTTTGCTACAAAGTTCAGGCCATAGTAGCAATATTCAATAATTCGGGCCAAAGTAGAAAGTATGTGTATAGTTCGGGCCAAACTAAGGTATTAACCCATCCAACAATCACAACTTTTAGTTGAGATTGTACAATCTCTCATTTTTGTTGATTGTTGGTGGGACCCACACAAAACAATACATGCATTGTTTTGCAATTTGACACTTCCAAACGTTGTATTGTGGACAATGCATGTATTTAACAAATACAACACTAACAATCGCAACTTCCAAACGACTCCTAAGTACAATAACAAAAAAGACGTTTCTAAAATCATTCTCAGGCCACGAAATTTGAAATAGTGGCATGACAGTTGATCGACCATGATCCAAACGATAAAGGAATTTCCTTTTGTCAACGGAATTTTCTTTTGAGGAATATACTTGAGCTGCGAGAACTAGAAGCCTTTGTTCGCTCAAAATGTAAAAACTTTTCAGTATTTTAAAATGGCATAAATGAGAAAAGGGTACAAATCACACGAACATGGCAAAATTACCCTCCAAAATGAGAAAACCCTAAAATGTGGAAAATCCCCCTTTACCGCTTCTCTCATTTGAGTCATTTCTCAAACTTCTGCTCTGAGCCTCTGACTCGCTATAAGTCTCTCCTTCCCTCCCTCTTTCTCTCTCTTCTCTGTTCCCTTCCTTCTCACATACGGAGCTGGCTCGTTCCTTGAGGAAGAAGGAGAAGAAGAATCAGCTAAAACTGAGCGGAAAACCGGAAAGAAGTAGGGCACAGTTTTCCCCGGCAAGGAAATGGGTAAGTACATGAAGAAAACCAAATCCCCAATGGCTATGGAGCTCTCTTACTCCTCCTCTGCCACCTCCACCGTCCGCACCCGTGCTAAAACCCTAGCCCTTCAGAGGCTTCAACAGTCTCTGTCCCCGCCCAAGACCATTCCCGAGGTCGATGATTCGTCCTTATCCTACCTCCAGCTCCGTAGCCGCCGCCTCGAGAAACCTCCTTTATACTCCCGGAAGGACCCAGATGAAATTAGTGTTCCCAGGGAGGGTTTGAGGTGTAAAACCCAACCCTCTAAAGTACGAGTGAGCTCGGAGGCCAAGTCAACCGGCGGGAAGGTTGTCAGGGTGATGGAAGGGGATTTATTTGGTTCTGGTGCGCCTGAGGATTTTGGGATTGAGGGCTCTTTTGGAGAGAACTGCTCGGAGTTCGAAGCTAGGTATCAATCCAATTTCTTTTCTTGCTTCTCCTGATCTTGTTTAGTTGGTTTGCTATTTCGCTTGGCTATGATCCTTGGTTGTTGTTGCCCTGTCGTTTCTAGTTTTTCTGTTTCTTTGGGTTATCAAGCTTCTTCTTACCAATTTCTGTGGGCTTGTGCCTTCTAACAGTGGCCACTTTTTGTGGGGTTCCTTGGCCTGCTTATGGCCTTCCAGGTCTAAACTGGGTGTTAATTGACCTTGCTTTGCCTTTCTAGGTTTTCCCTTGAGCTCTCCATTGGTAACTCCTTTGATATGCCTGTTTCTATGCCCAGATTTCTGTGTTATTTTCCCTAAAGTGCAGAGATAATTTTGCATGAAGGTGATTTTCTCTTTTTTCTTTTCCTCTTGTTCTTGCTTCTGCAATCTGTTGGTCAATAAGGGTGATGTCTCCATTTTTTTACAGTGTTAAAAGTACAGGGGTGTGCATATGCCCCTGCTGGAGTGTGTCTCCTTAGGAGCTGCAAGTTTTTTTCTCTTTTCCTTTTCTTGATTAAAATTTTCTGATCGTTCTTCCTTTTCTTGTGTGTCCCCGGAAACCAAAGGAAATTAGAAGGTTGTCCCCGTTTTGGGTATTTTAACCATCAATACCCTTTTTCTATTTTGTCTTAATATGCGGATTTACATCTTCTCCGTGAGTTATTTCAAGTGTTCGTTGTGCTGTCCATATCAGACTTGCCTCTGGTATGGGAAACGGGCCACTGTCACAGCAAGGGATTCTAAGT